AAGCTTTTGGATCAACAAAACTAATCTATAATGATCGGAGTCAAAAAACTTAGCCTGGTGGTGGTGGTGTGGGGCGGTGGGGGAGTGTTTGAGGGAGGCCAGGGGATTGACTGAAAATAGGATATAGCTTTTAGGGGTGATAAAAAGTTCTTTGTCTTGTTTTAGCTAGTTGTTGTATGGATGTATACAAATGTCAGAACCAATTACACATTTAAAGTGTATAGTACAATGGTTTTTAGCGTATTCATGGAATTTTGTAACCATGACCACAGTTTCAGAACATTTTCATCACCTCAAAAAGCAACTCCATACCCTTGAGCTATGTCCCACAGTCCTAAGTAACCACTAATCTACTTTCAGTCTCTAAGGATTTGCCTACTCTGGGCATTTTACAAAAACAAAATTATATAAGATGTGGTCTTTTCTTACTGCATTCTTTCACTTGCAAACTGCTAGGTTTCATCTATGTTGAGGCCTGCACCGGTACTTCATTGCTTCCATGGCCAAAGAATATTTCGTAGCATGACTCTACCACATTTTGTTTATCCATTTATTGGTTGATGATAGACATCTGGGTTGTTTCCACTTTGGGGCTATTAAGAATAATGCTGCTATGAATATCAACGTATAAGTTTTTGTGAGAACTAGGCATTTTATTGTATAAAAACTATACCTCATCTTTAAGAACAAATATAAACATCTATATTTTGTTGTTGTAAAAATCTATTTTATTGTTACTATAAAGCAAGGTTTCTGAGGATTTCAGTGGATGGCTAAATAAAACCATCTCAGAATGGCAGAGAAGCAAATTATAATAAAAACATGTTCTTTCAGAGGAGAAAAAAGTTGTATGTCAATAAAAGCAACTAGTCTGAAATGTGATGTTTGTCTGCTGTTGGAACAGAGGTTTCCTGTGTGAGGAGGAAGCTGCCTGAAAGGAGAACTGAAATCACGGCCTCACACACAAGCGACAGTAGAACTCTTACAAGGCTGCAGTGACCACGCCACAAAAATATTTAGCATCATCCTGACTTCTCTATATCCCATTAACAGCAAAATCCACACTGAAGTATGATCTAGTTCTTTAGAGGGACAAGGAAAGTAGTTTAGTCTATTTACCAAAGGCCAAAAATACCTTTAAAATAATGTCTGTGTGGTATTGGGCATGTTTACATAGAGATATGGTGCCAGAAGGCTGTCATGCTAGGAAAAAAGTTATTTTCTTTACAAATTTAAGAATGTTCTCTTCCTGAAATTATTCTAAATTAGTTTTATTATTGTGATACAAAGTAAGTTTTATTACTGGACTTTATCACGGGACAAAACCCACCCAAAAAAACTAAAAAAAAAAGTTACGAGGATCCTTCATGGCTTCCTTTTGTAAAAATGGTCCAAAGAGAATACTAGAAATTACTGGATTCCTACTTTCGTGGGAACTCTTCTGTCTACTTTACAACACTTATTTCCTCACTTAATCCACAGAACAGCCTTATAAGGCAGGGTCTGTATTTTATTGCCATTTTACAGGTTAGGAAACTAGGATTAACTGGCTACACTACATACTGAAGAGAGAGAAGAGGCTGGGACTAAACCCAAGACTTCATTTTCATAGAACACATACCTAAAATTCATGGGCAGAGCCTGTGGCTCAGTGAGTAGGGCAGCGGCCCCATATAAGGAGAGTGGCAGGTTCAAACCCGGCCCCAGCCAAACTGCAACAACAACAAAAAAATAGCCAGGAGTTGTGGTAGGCACCTGTACTCCCAGCTACTCTGGAGGCTGAGGCAAGAGAATTGCCTAAGTCCAGGAGTTGGGGGTTGCTGTGAGCTGTGGTGGCACAGCACTCTACCAAGGGCAATAAAGTCAAATTCTGTCTGTTAAAAAATTAAAAAATAAAAAATAAAGACCTCCAGGGATACCTTTTTTTTTTTGAGACAGAGTCTAACCATGTCACCCTCGGTAGAGTGCCGTGGCGTCACAGCCCACAACAACCTGAAACTCTTGGGCTTAAGCTATTCTCTTGCCTCAGCCTCCCGAGTAGATGGAACCACAGGCGCCTGCCACAAAGCTCAGCTATTTTGTTGTTGTTGTTGTTGTTATAGTCGTTGTTGTTATAGTTGTCGTTGTTGTTTGGCAGGCCCGGACCATGTTTGAATCCACCAGCCTGGGTGGTGTGGCCAGCGCCCTAACTGCTGAGCTACGGGAGCTGAGTCAGGGACCTCTTATTCTTCAGATTTTCCCTTGAAGTTTTTTGGTTATCTGATTGTTTATCCCAATAGGGACCTCAGGTAGCCACTTGGTTAAACAGATGTCACTGGTCATTTTTTGACAAATGCCTCCTGGGGAAACTGCTTTGCAACGAGTAAGTTTTCAGTCAAGTTAAGTAAAGGCAAACCTTTCCAGTGGAGTTTACTGGGACCTTATCCGACAGGTCTGATAATGGTAATCCTCTAATGATGGGGCTCGGAAAGAGTTTCAACTCTATTTTCACTCCCTCAGTGCTGGCGAGGCTGCTAATCGTCCTGGTGATTGCAGGCTGTTGGTTTTCAAGGTTACCATAGAGCTGAGAAGACCAGAAGGTGTTATGGAAAGTGAAAATGCCACTAAGTTTGTTGTTCTTGTGGAGATTCTACTCCAGGTTTTTGTTGTTTTAAATAAACACTATCCTCAAGCCCCTCAGATTATTGTAACTTTTATGGTGAATTTCAAAGTTACGAAAAAAGTTGACCTTGATAGTTTTTGCCAGTGTTCTTGGTATTTTTATAAAGGAGAGTTTGGAGATGCTGCTATTACTATTTTTTTTTCTTTGAGAAAGAGCCTCAAGCTGTCGCCCTGGGTAAAGCACCATGGCGTCACAGCTTACAGTAACCTCAAACCCTTGGGCTTAAGCAGTTCTCCTGCCTCAGCCTCCCAAGTAGCTGGAACTACAGGCACCCACCACAATACCCAGCTATTTATTGGTTGTAGTTGTCAGTATTGTTTAACAGACCTGGGCTGGATTCAAACCCACCAGCTCTGGTGTATGTAGCTGGCAACCTTAGCCACTTTGAGCTATAGGTGCCAAGCCTCAAAATTATTGTAGAAATTGCACTGTACAAGTTTGTCATTTTACAATTAAGGAACAAAGAATTAAAGTGATTAATTAACTGATAAAAATAGTCATGTGACTATTTAGTAAAACTCTCATTTCAAAAGTTCTAGTCCTGGCTTGGCACCTGTAGCTCAAGCGGCTAGGGCACCAGCCAAATACACCAGAGGAGGCGGATTGGAATCCAGCCAGGGCCCGACAAACAACAGTGACAACTACAACCAAAAAATAAAAGCCAGGCGTTGTGGCAGGCACCTGTAGTCCCAGCTACTTGGGAAGCTGAGTCAAGAAAATCACTTGAGCCCAAGACTTTGAGGTTGCTGTGAGTTGTGATGCCATAGCACTCTACCCAGGGCTACAGCTTGAGACTCTGTCTCAAAAAAAAAAAAAGTTCTAGTACTGGTTCGGTGCCTGTAGCACAGTGGTTACAGTGCCAACCATGCATACCAAGGCTGGCAGGTTCAAACCTGACCCAGGCCTGCTAAACAACAATGACAGCTACACCAAAATAATAGCTGGGTGTTGTAACAGGCGCCTGTAGTCCCAGCTCTCAGGAGGCTGAGGCAAGAGAATCACCAAAGCCTAAGAGCTGGAGGTTGCTGTAAGCTGTGATGTAACAACACTCTACCAAGGGTGATAAAGTGAGATTCTATCTCTTAAAAAAAACAAAAATGAAAAGTTCTAGCAATGTTGTCTCCTGAGAAAACATGTTCTGTACAATGTAACCACACATAAATAGCATGCTCATTTCAAAATGATTCTTTTTTTTTTTTTTTTTT